TCCCTCCTTGAACTCGATGGTCAGGTGGTTGCGCCCCTCCCTTTCCGCACCTCACCCACTCCATAATCAGGTGCGCACCCCTTCCCCACCATGATTGAGTGACTCACCCATCCGGTGCCTGTGGGTAACTCAGGATGGGGAAGGAGGGGCGCGTGACCCTTCCCCCGTAGCACCCCACCCCACCCCGTCACCCAACTGGCGCCGTACCTATGCAACATTTGCGCTCATGAGTGGGTTTGGGTGCATATGGACTTTGTATGGTTATATTATTGATTGTATCAAAAGTAGGGTGATCATATTAATAGTATATATGTTATGTTGTATTTTGAACCGATGAACCGTAAGCCTCAAGTTAAGTTTAAAAGTACTTGAACTTGAAGACAACTGCTTTAATTTTGAGACTCTTCTTAATGTTGATTTGTATTTCTCAAACCTCTGTTAAAATTATGGTATTATCACACTTATTTTTGTACTAATTTCCACTTCAGTATGATAATGTACCAGTTTCATAAGGATTAAAAAAAAACGAAATCGAGTTTCTTTTGATGTCTCGTTTTTCAACGGCTTCCAAAGTCGTGAAATGCTTTCAAAAACGAAAACTGTTCAACCAACAGTTTTTTGTAATAACCAATAGATATAGCGATTTTCAATAACGAAAATTAATCAATTTTTTTTATAGAGGTAAATTAAAGTATATTAGAAGTGCATTCAGCCATAACATACAAAGGAATTATGCAACTGTGTGGTAGTCATGAATATACGGAAGTGTGCCAAGATGCTTAAAAAACATCACATCAAAACTGAAAAAAGGAGACTTTACAGGGTAATATACACCAATCTGAGGCCAGATAATTTTTTGATTTTATGATGGAAAAGTGCTGAAATGCAACCTCCGGCCATCTACATATCCAGGGGCGGTGCACCTCGCTGCGCTCGGCAAACACATTTACCGGGAGCGCGCCCCCCCCCCCCCCCCCCCCCCTTCAAAAAATCCTGTATCCGCCCCTGGATACATTCGATGACAAGATGAAACATATATGGCTTTCTCGCATTTAAAAATACAATGCTATTTTGACAAGTCGATATAGCGTAAAATGATTATTATTGTGAGAGCGATGTTTGTTTATCGTTAATTAATGTTTTACTTAAGATGAATGCTACCATATAAATTAATAGTTTATAACAATATCCCTGTATTGAATCATCCTCTTAATTTCATGTTGGATGAAACTGTACCGCGGGTAGACCATTATACTTCTCTTGACTGGATACATATATAGCTCAGTCGGTAAGAGCCTGGTAAGTCTAGGGTTCGAATGCCGGTCTAGCCCCACTGTATTGTTTGACATTCAGAACACTTATTGTTTTTTTTGTTAATCTCGTCCCTATTGTTTCCATAACAGTCAACAAGGTATAATTTTCTTTTCAGAAATGATTTATCAAAACTGGTTTTCAGTACAAAGCTACAGTTTTCGGCAGCGCTACAGGGATCCTTTATTCACTTGCTTCAACATTACGTTTAAAACCATAGCTTGCGACGCTCTTTACAGAATAACAGTCAGTCGAATTGAGTATTTGTAATCAAAAATATAAATAAGCAACGAAAACAGAAAATCAAGTGGGCGAATTAAGGACGTATTCTCTGCCACATTACAATATTACTGTCGAGTAATTGTATATGCACGGTATCAAAATGAGATTGATACCTTACAACGGTACGTAACCTCAAGCCAGATAAAACACTGTTAGCTTTATCTTCTGCCAGAGCGAATATTCATATAGTCGGAGTCGTAAAAACACCCTTGAAGTGTAGTGCATCGAGGTTACATCAGGTTCAGTGGGAATTAGAACCTAAACTGAAATACGACTTTATTTAGAATTTGTTATTTTGACTATATCACGTTACATTAAGCTATGTTGTAAGTCATTTATTTGTATAATTATTGACATCTTTGTATAATGCGAATGATTATGTGTTGATTATTGTTTAGGTCAATTGCAAAGAACCGGACAGGGCTGAAGAAGCTTGGAGTGACCCACCTACTGAACGCTGCCCAGGGGAAGACTAACTTCCATGTTAACATTAACTTTGAAATGTTTAAACGGGTTGATATCAGCTATTACGGGATTGAGGCGATGGATCAAATGAACTTTCAGTTGACACCATTTTTTGATAAATCGGCTGAGTTTATCCAGAAAGGTATCGATTCTGGGGGTAAGTATATGTAGCAACCTTTTGCGTGTGATATAAATTAATACGCAATTATCAAAAATGTTCATTATTGTCTTTTGAACCGTCACTCGTAGAGTCGAATACGTTATGACGGTTAACATACATTTACATATGAATAGAAAAATAAATAGTAGTTTCGTGGGTATTGTACCCCTTACTTACATAGATTTCAAAAATAAGAGGAGTATTTATTCCGATATATAATTAGCAAGCGTGTAGGTTAGAAATCATTGCACTACTCGAAAGAGGTGACAAGACGAAAATAATGTACAGGCTGTTTTGTAGTAACCTGTCTATAAATGTGTTGTATGTAATTATTCGTCAACTGTTTATTTTATTTTCAGGGAAGGTGATGGTGAACTGTAAAGTAGGCGGGAGTAGGTCGGCTACCCTGGTTCTTGCCTACCTCATGATAAAACATCATTTAACAATACAGGATGCAACACGATTGGTCAGGTCTAAACGAGAAATTTGTCCGAATGACGGTTTCTTGCAACAATTATGCGATCTCAATGAAAAAATGAATAAGACTGGACATTTTGACCATAAACCAGAAGAAATCTCCAAAACTGAGGAAAACGTATAATGAAGAAAAGATGAAAAAACCCCATTATTTTAGCCCGGTTAATGAAAGTGTACTGTTGAACAATAATTACATGATGAACGTCTCGAGAAAAATACAGGATTTACAGGAATCGTTTATGAAATTGTTTACCTGTTCAACAGTTCTGTTCGGAATAATATACTGATGAAGCTACCGACAGCATCTACACAGTTCTCAGTTTAACCCATCAACAATTTACCATGTCATGGACGCTAGAGTTGAAAATGTTTTTTCTCGTGAGTTTCGTAGGCTTTAACAACCAATAAGTCGTAGGAATTGCAAACATTATCATCTCCTCATTTGAAGAGTTCAATGTAATGCAATGGTCACGTCTCGTCTACTAAAGTATTCTTTCTACCAGAACATTACGATTATTGTTGTCTCTTATATAAAAAAAAACCTACGCGGATTAATCGTAACTATTTCTATATCGAATAGTTCGTAATTATTGTGAAAGATAATTAGTTTTGTGGAAGATGGGAGGTAACTCCACCTCATACTTCTAGTAAGGAATTTATATAAGATAAGAGTTATCGATCCTGTAATTCGTTCACTTCCGCTAAGACGATAAAAGGCAGGTGCATGATATTAAGTTTTCAGAAAGTAATCTTTAAAATTTACTATAAAAGGCAGATCATGCCAAAAAGGAAAGCGACAAAAGATGCAGGGCAGGGGCCTCAGGCAGGAACGAGGGGTGCCAACCGGAGACGGGCGTCGGTGCCGCCGACCGAGGAGGAAGCCGAACCTTATGTGGAGGCAGTGGATGCAATGCCGATTGAGCCACACCAGCAGGTTGACCATATGGGTGGCAGTTCTATAGGTATATCTCCTATTGAGGGGTCAGAGCAATTGTTTCCCCCCTCCAACCCCTTGCCCATAACAAGTGCCCATACTTCCCTAGGGGCTAATGTCTCGCCTGGCAACAGACAAAAAATAATATCAGGGCAGTATATAGATTTGGGCCTGTTGTTATTGAACGGGCCGTCTGAACAAGGGGAACAGCTACTGATGCTGAATAAAAAGGGTGAATTGATAACTAAGGCCAAAATCAATGAGAGGATAGTTAGTGTAGAAAAATGGACTGATGCCATGATGGTGTTTGCGACCATTTATGGTTCAGCTCACCCAGCAAAACACCCTGATTTGTTGANCGCACTTTACTAGCTATTAAAGTGACCATTCCCTACGGGGGGGTTCACATTTTATTTACGGACTACCTAAGTGTAACAGTGAGCTATTGGGCAATAACTGTTTTGGACTTTGGCCAATTTGGCCTTATTAACTGTAACATTGATGGTGCCAGCCATACCTCGGCGGACCACAATGATATTTTATAACCTACTGCCGTGACCACATATCGCCAAACTTAATAAAATTATAAACCTTATTTCTTGTGTATGTTATCTTTTCTTCAATAATCAATAGTTGTGGTATTTATAGATTATCCCACTGTGTTTTCGGGGTTTGTCGTGAGAACCATTTTTTCATCACGAGCACGTGGATAGAATCGAGAGAGTACCGCAGGTGGAGATGGGCTGGATCAAAAGCTAGTGAAACATATTTGTTATTACAGAAGTCACTGTAAGATATTCAGTTTAGACATGTTTTTCAAAGCATGTCCATAAATGACGACACATTGTACTAAAAGTTTAAAAACTGAAAGGTTGAACGCATTTGGTACTGGGTGAGGTTTGTGTGCGGTCCCGGCATAGGGGTAGGACATACCTTCAAACTTCAGTCATACAAACGACGCTGTCATGTTGATTTGGAAATTGTATGGACACATTTGTTGTTTCGTTAAGCTACTATAATATAAATGCTACTATTTAAATCAGCTAGCATAATTAATGTTCAGAGACTGGAGCTTGTTTTGTTGCACTATTTTAAATCACAAAAAACAGCAATTACATATATACTTATTCAAACCGGAACCACTCATTTCCAATATTCCGTTGATTGTAGAATAACTTTTGATAGATTATTCTGTTGCATTCCATCTTGGTTGAACATGTCTATACACACACTTAGATCAAGTCATTATCTAAGTTATAGAATATCTTGTTTACGTTCTATACATGTTTCTCTGTGAATGTTACGAACTGCTAGTATTTGGAACACCCCGGTGTCATGTGATCATCCGTGTCACATGACGCCGCGTCATAAATCGGGTACCTCTTGGTGGTTTTATGGGGTTCAGTGTAATATAAACCATAATGCTGTGCGAAATAATAGTCAAAACTAGAAATATCATACCGACGAAGCAATACATCCAACAAGCATCACATGATCAAGCTGCAGAAGAAGGGTCATTTGTCTACGTTACCCTTGTCTTTGAGGCGTCAATTTTGTTATGTTGAATTGAAGTGGAACGTTGAATTTCACCTCAAAGACTTCCACCATTTACATACATTATATACAGTTAATCCTTACAGCGTTTATATTTGCATTTTAGAATACCTTGACCTTCGACTTTAGTATCTTGATCAGACACCAATAGACAACTATTAATTCATGCAGATAGCATCACTTGATACTGACGTTGTGCTTCATCTACTCATAAGAAGTGTATGCAAGCTTCCTGATGGACTTTGACCCTACATCGAGCAATAGCCAGTGTCAATTGGTAATTTTTACCTGCCCCCTGACTGCCTGCAGTTTATGAGTGCAGTTGAGCGGAATGATAGCCGACTTTTTCTGATTCGGCACAGTACAGCTTGGCGAGGTTACTGCCATGAATCCGTTAGGGAGTGGTCTTTTAAAGATGGCGGCAGTTACAGACAGCAGAAGATAGGTGTCCATTTCAAACCTGAAAAGCTGTTGTTTTTAATCATGATCTGAGCACGGCATGTAGCAACGTGAACCTGGAAGTTTGCAAACAACACGTTGGCTATCAGTAGTCATCAAATACTTCCAAGAGTACTCTCAAACCAATCACAAAGTTGTACAACGTATTGATTTCACCAGCGAGGCTTGAAACGCCGTTTATATATGGTCCTTTCTAAGTATATGCTTATTTTTGAAAGATTTCCCACATCAGTCTAGATCCCTAATTGAAGTAGTGTAGAAAGTATGGGTTATTTATAACTAAACCCTATACAATAAGAGAAAAACAAATCGTTAAAATTAGTGTATGTCAAGAATTGGTCTCTAGACAATTATGTTTGATTTTGCAACAGATGTTAAGGATTGGTCTCGTGTTTTTGTCAAGGAATGGTCTTCAAATAGGGTGAGTAGGCTCTAAATCAACGAATTAATTGTGCTATAAATACTCCATAATATGGTATGGTTGGAATGATCTACATCACGTTTGTCATAAATTCTAATTGAAAGGTGTCCATTGTTGGCATGTTTGAGAAGTAAATAGAGATAAAAAGTCAAGTTAGCAAGAGTTATAACACACTGCCTGTGCAAATATGTGCGTACTTAATGCACCATTGGAGTATTGCAGTGTCAACATGTGCTTCTCTGTCTCGGATCCTATATCAAATATTGTATAATCTGCGTACTTGACATCCCCTTGCCAACACTCTAACGTGATGCGCAGGGCTTGTCCCAACACCAACAGGCTTCTAATTGGTTCCATTCCTAAACCACGAGTAATGTTTTATTCATCTGTTAAATGTTTATTTGGAAATCGTTGTGTTACACTATTGTTTTCACTGTTTGCTATGTGAATGAAATATTTATGTCACGATTAAAGCACATCAACACATCGGAATACATACCTCAGCGCATCAGTAAAATACCTTGTAACAGTTAAAATACCTCGACACATCTGGATAAAACCTCAGCACATCACTGTAAATACTTTGACACATCCCAACGTTACAAATATTGGGGCACATCAGTATAGATACCTCGGCACGGTATAAATACTTCAGCATATCAGCTTAGATACCTCGGCACGGTATAAATACTTCAGCATATCAGCTTAGATACCTCGGCACGGTATAAATACTTCAGCATATCAGCTTAGATACCTCGGCACGGTATAAATACTTCAGCATATCAGCTTAGATACCTCGGCACGGTATAAATACTTCAGCATATCAGCTTAGATACCTCGGCACGGTATAAAAAAACTTCAGCACATCACTATAAATACCTCGGCACGGTATAAAAACTTCAGCACATCAGTATAGATACCTCGGCACGGTATAAAAAAACTTCAGCACATCACTATAAATACTTTGACACATCCCAACGTTACAAATATCGGGGCACATCAGTATAGATACCTCGGCACGGTATAAAAACTTCAGCACATCAGAATAGATACCTCGGCACGGTATAAAAACTTCAGCACATCAGCTTAGATACCTCGGCACGGTATAAAAACGTCAGCATATCAGAATAAATACCTCGGCACGGTATAAAAACTTCAGCACATCATCATAGATACCTCGGCACGGTATACAAACTTCAGCACATCAGCATAGATACCTCGGCACGGTATACAAACTTCGACACATCAGCATAGATACCTCGGCTCGGTATAAAAACTTCAGCACATCAGTATAGATACCTCGGCACGGTATAAAAACTTCAGCACATCAGTATAAATACCTCAGCACATTCATTATATGAAGGCACATTAGTTTACAACACATCAGTTGTCGACACATTAGTTTACAACACATTAGTTAACAACACATTAGTTTACAACATATCAGTTTACAACACAACAGTTGTCGACACATTAGTTTACAACACATCAGTTGTCGACACATTAATTTACAACACATCAGTTTTCGACACATTAGTTGACAACACAACAGTTGTCGACACATGAGTTTACAACACATCAGTTGTCGACACATTAATTTACAACACATCCGTTGTCGACACATTAATTTACAACACATCAGTTTTCGACACATTAGTTNACACATTAGTTTACAACACATCAGTTGTCGACACATTAGTTTACAACACATCAGTTGTCGACACATTAGTTTACAACACATCAGTTGTCGACACATTAGTTTACAACACATCAGTTGTCGACACATTAGTTTACAACACATCAGTTTACAACACAACAGTTGTCGACACATGAGTTTACAACACATCAGTTGTCGACACATTAGTTAAAGACGCATAAGTATTACTTAGTTGTACTTCATATTAATACCGTGTACATCGATATATAAAAAAAACCAGGGCACCGGTGTATGTACCGCCAAACAAGAATAACTACCTCAGACAACGTTATTTGTACATCGGCACATTGGTATACACACTCCGATACATCGATAAGTATGCATACCTTATCTGACAGGTATAATGACTTTGTCGACTTATCAGAAAGACTACCTCGGCAAATCAGTACGATACCTCTGTACTTCGGTCAGTATATAGCCAGATTTCTCCATGTAGATATCCAAATCCTCCTTTGCACTCTGACCAGGACCGCATGAAGTCAACGCTACCGTCATATATTTTTTGAATCAGCTGTTTGACATAACGTCTAGCTAAAACGTACATGCACTTAAAAAAAAACAATTTATAAAATTTAGATATCCGAGATCTAAATTACATAAAATACATCACTTATCTATCATCACCAGAGTTCAAAAAATAGTTTTAGAAACCAAAAAAAAAAAAAATACTTATGATCACGAAAGGTCACACAATAGTTTGACATCAACTCTCATAATCATATTTTGTGTTATTTTTCATACCATAATACCAACATTGCATATTTTCCCCTTTGTTCAATATAAGTTTTATTATATTGAACTTTTGAAACTTGCATAACCAAAAGAAAAGTAAGAAAGGAGAAAGATGAATAAAATTCAGAAAAAAACCCCAAAATAAATTGAAAAGGCGATATATTACCATTTGTTGGAGAGGAAGAAGTGCACATTTTTGCGATTATCTAAACTGGCTACCGAACAGTTCCCTTTTCACAATAAACTAAAATTTCTGCAAGGAACATGTAACTTTGTGACACATTGTCTATATGCATAATTACTTTTAAAATTGATCATAATCTGTTGAATTAAAGAAAGTGATGCTAGATCAAAACGAGAATACATTACATATAAACTCTTTAAAAATCTGTTTCATATAGGAGTGACATTAACAATTATAGTGTAATATCCCTATGTTAATGCGGTCAGAATATTTTATATTCTAAATGTCGCATGTAGAAATAACCACATACACCTGTGTATCATGTCCATATTCCATTTATTCGTTGTCCATGTCACAAAGGCATTTGTCTGAAATGTATCAGTACAAACATTCAGTTTTCTCGCCGACAAATCATACATATATAAAGTCATGAGAAAATAATCTAAGATTGATTACCGAATAACATTTTGACAATAATTCTCAATAAATGGCTTGATAATTATAACACTAATACAGCTGTAATTGTTCATTTACAATTGGTGCACACTATAGATTACTTGTCGATAGTGCCATAAGTTACACTGAAGGACTTTCCTGGTACCTGTTTATTTGTGAAAGCTGTATGATTTTGTCGGTTTGACATGTGTCATGATCAAAGCAATGTTGGATTGGTATTCAGTTATATCATATGAAATATTCTCTTACCGTCCACGGTCCTCCAGGAGTGTCCGCCCAACCTTTAAATAGAACAAAAATTAGAAAATGCCGTCCAAAGGACAGATAAGATCGAAAGTTAGGATATCAACTAACTGAACCATTTATATACTAGTAACACATACTATAAATAGTCAAGGACTGTACTATTAAAAAAGGCATCCTTTAAAAGGTAAAATGATATTTTTGTTTATAGTTTGTGAACTGCTGACGTATTTCAATAAGCATAATAATATAATAGGTATATGTCACTAAGTTCACTTACCAGCAAACAGACATATAACATAACAAAACGCAACAGAGGGGAGATAGAAACAAAGATAATAGAGAAAAAGCAGCAATAAATAAATAAAATATACAGCAAGTACTTCCAGTAGAAACGAGAAGCAAATCGATATGGACGACCTTGTTAATTAAAATGAAACTTACAATAACCGTCCTTTTATTGATGACTCTAGGTAAACCTTTCAGGTGAATAGTAAACAACAATTAGACGTTGTAGGTATTGTATGATAACATGCGTGAGAACAGGTTATATCTCTCATATCCACATTTTCAAAAGTTTAATAATATGTCAATTCATACTCATATCAAAAGGAAAGTATACATATTTTTTACGATACAAGTGGAAGAAGCAACTAAGGATCATGATAAGAAGTTGCTTGCCGTACTGGACCGATGTCGTGAACGAGGTATAAATCTGAACAAGGATAAGCTACGATTAAGGCAGAAGGAGGTGAAATTTGTAGGACATCTCATAACTGCTGAGGGTCTGAAACCCGATCCAGAAAAAGTACGGGCAGTGCTAGAAATGTCCAATCCAACTGACTTCACTGGAATCCGACGTTTTCTAGGGTTTGTGAATTATCTAGGCAAATTCCTTCCAGGATTGAGTGACAGATGTGAACCGCTACGCAAATTGACGGTACAAAATGTGGAATGGTGTTGGTTGGAAACCCACAGTAAGGCTGTGGAAGAAATCAAACGATTGGTCACGTTGTCACCCTTACTTAAATACTGTGACCAAAAAGATGAACCTGTCACTACACTGTGATGCCTCTGAAAAAGGTTTAGGAGCCGCCATAATGCAGATTGATCGACCTGTGGCGTATGCAAGTCGTGCACTGACAGATGTGGAAACGCGTTACGCACAGATCGAAAAGGAACTACTACATTATAGCAGTGGTTTTCGGCATGGAAAAATTCCATCAGTTTACAGGAGACCGGTTACTGTACAGAGTGACCACAAGCCATAAATGATGATCCTTAGGAAATCTTTACAGAATGCACCAAAACGCTTACGGCGATTTCTACTAAGGCTGCAGAAGTACAACTTTGTACTCACGTAAAAGAAAGGTGAAACTATGTATCTTGTTGACACTCTGAGCAGGGCATATCTTGATGTCGGAGACAAAACAGCTCAGCTGGATGATACAGAGACTGTACATATGGCACAGTTCTTGCCAATATCGGAACCACGACTTCACGAGATACAGAAGCAAACTAGCACAGATGAGTCGTTACAAACTCTCAGGGAAGTCATATTGGAAGGTTGGCCTGAGTCCAAGTCCAAGTCTCGCGCAACCATACTTCCATGTTCGCGATGAACTTGCGGTCCAGGATGGAATTATCTTTCGTGGGGAACGCGCTGCGATTGCTAGGACACTAAGAGCAGATATTATGCAGAAAATTCATTCTGCGCATGTTGTAGTCGCATGTTGCCTGCGGAGGGCGCGAAACAGTTTATTGGCCGAGGATGAACAGTGTAGTGTGTATCGTTCGTTTGACACAAAACAACAGATAGAGACTTTAATCTCACATGATGTACCAGATAGGCCTTGGGCTAAACTCGGGTCAGACCTGTTCTATTTTGGCCAGAAGAACTACCTAATTACAGTTGATTATTTCTCAAGTTATTGGGAAATAGACTACCTACAGGACACCACATCGAAGACGGTAATCCGAGCCTTACGTAGTCAGTTTGCGCGTCATGGAATACCTGATATTATGTGTAGTGATAATGGTCCTCAGATTAGCCCTGGTGAATTCCGGCGTTTCAGCAAAGAATGGGAATTCGATCATGTTAACTCGTCGCCAGGTTACGCACAAAGCAATGGAAAATCTGAACAAGCAGTCAAAACTGCGCAGAGGTTTATGAAGTTGGCTAAAACTTCACACAAAGACCCATTTCTGGCACTCCTTGATTTCAGAAACACTCCGTCACAGGGTATGGACCGTAGCCCTGTACAGCGTATCATAAAAATGCGCACAAAAACACTGATGCCGACGAAAGCAAGTCTTTTAAAACCAGAAGTGCAGATGTCGTCAAATGCAAAGAAACAGTTGAAGGGCGTGAAGGAACGACAAGCTTTCTACTACAATCAAACTGCGAAAAACCGAAACCTCTAGGTAATGGAGAAGTTGTTAGAATAGCTCCACATGAGGGTATGTTAAACGACCAGAAAACCTGGAAACGAGGTGTTATAAAGGAACAAGTTAACAAGAGGTCATATGACGTCACCACTGAGGATGGAAGGACGTATCGGCTAAACCGACGTCATCTGAGACTGTCAAAGGAAACTTTCACACCGGAAGTTCAGGTTTTGGACCGAATGTGGAAATGGAGAAGGAACCACGTGTGAGCAAGGAACCACATGTTGAGACCAATGTGGTACCACCACCTGAAGCACCACCCAACATGTCTAGCAGGACCAGGTCAGGCATACAGGTGGCTCTTCCTTCGAAATTTAAAGATTTAAAGATTTTGATCTGTCCAAGTGATGATTTCGTTAACAGTGTTTAAGTAAAAAAAAGTGTTTAATATGTTCGCGAAATAGTTTCAAGTTTAAGTTTTAATATTTTGTTATATGAACGTGTTTGAAAAGACAGACAATAAGATACAGTACATACTTGTATAGTGCAGCTCGGAAGTACAAGTATAATATCTTTTCAGTGTTATTAGTACTTATTACAGTGGAACAGTTCTTATTATCAATAATGGCAATATAGTTTTTTGTGCAGTAGAAACTTAAGGACAAATTCTTTATGAACTTTATCGAAAAATATTCTTCTAGAATATAAAACTCGTAATTTGTCGTATGAAATTCTAGTCATTTCAGTCTTAAAGTTAATTTGTCATTTAATTCCGTCTAAATTTTAAAAAGGAGGAAAGATGTAACACATCTTATATTTCGGTCCGCTACAAATGTTTACAGTCTGTATTTTTTACCAAGATGCGCACGCATCACGGCATGTGAATAAAAGTCGTCCATGATTGATGTTATTGTGTTCCCCTCCATCCATTCAGTTTCAAATGTTTACATCGACATATCTAGTGCGGACATGAAACAGAGTCGTAGAAGATGTCCTTACAGTCATTCTTGACCGCACAAGCCAGCACGCACTGAACCGGGGATGTGATGTTCTCGGTCACAAGCCTCGATTCGGTCACTGTGGGTTCTGTCGTTCCAAACCTATCCTATGATATATCAAAATGATACTGGTGTAACTCTCTGATTGATGATCGAAATATAATAAATAAAGCTACCTGAAGTTTTCTTAGCATTTTTAAAGTCACAATATTCAAAGACGGTGATGAGCGTATTGCAAAAAACAATCATACATAATTTTGCTTGTGCACGAACTGGCTTCTTATTATGATTGTACTCTTTGAATGAGGATGGTTCAGGATGTAATTATAACGCAACATAAAATCGTTAATTATAAATGTTTCCTTGGCGATTTTGGCCGCACTTATATTCGATCGATAAAAGGGATACGCCATAAATAAAGTATCGTCACATCAACATAAAGTTCTTAGTGGAAATACTGTAACGTCCATCAGCACAAAGATTCCGTAATATAGCTTGTGACATGTCGATGTGGCTCCTTCTGGCCCACCTTTTAATTCCTAGCGCCTTGCCTCGCAATACCTCATTGTCAGTTGGCAACAAACATATTCTTTATTGAGCGCTAACGCGCACCATATAATATGTTCTTTGCCAACTGCGTTCATTCTACCGTATACGCCGTCAAAATGTAGGTCAATCCTTAAATAAAACCGCATAAGCTGGAACAGCCTGTCCACCGTAAATGATAAAATACAGAAATTGCTTACTATGAATATCATTGCATACACAGAATCGCAACAATGTGATGTCAACGTATATCTTTTCTAAACAATGTCTTTTTACAGAAAATTTGATTTTCTTTATAATAAAGCTTGCATGGCTTAGACAAATTACAGCTTTCTTAAAAAGACAAATTACAGCTATTTTATAATTCACAGTCTTGATGATTTTCAGTTTCGTTTATACTGAATGAATGCCACGTTTAAAGATTTAGCAAAAATAGAGGCAATATGATACACGTTTGGACAAAATATTTAAAATGACTATTTGTTATACCTATGAATCATATTGTGATAAAATATAAACCTTTACATTTTGTTGTAAGCATCGTAAGTATACAATGGGACAATCACTAGTAAGACAACTTATTCGGTGTGATTGTCGATATGTTGTTGGATATTGTTTGTCAACTCATTAAATCCCACTTTGTCTGCCAGAACCATTCATCAAGGAATACTCCTACTTCTGTGGCACGACCTCCTGAAAATAGCAGCATCATTTTGACATCAGCTTGATGTTGCCATGAAAACGAATCATCACGTGACATGTGGCACGCGCAAATGAACACCTTAATTAGAAAACCTCGTTTTATAGGCATTGCAGTAGATGGGAAAGTACACTAAATCACAAAATGTTATGGTGGAATAGAAATAACCATTATCATCTTGTTTATTATGGTAAAGTATATTAGTTCGAAATATGTTAGAAAAATTAAAATTGCAGCGCCCATGTGACAATGGAGAGGTGCCCGGATGTGTGAACTGTATCAATCTGAACGGTTTAGAAATCTTAAAGCCGGTGATTAAAACAAAGACTGAATTATTTCACATGATCAATACAGTTGGAATCATGAAGCAGTGTAATATTTTACTGCTGAATGTACAGTATATCGCCTGATGAACCTATAAATGAACGACAGTCATACGAAATAATAACGCCATTTTAATTCATGTAACGCAGATGTAAATATATGAGAAATTGGAATGTCAAATTTGATACTTGTCAGGAATGGACTTTATAACAGACGAACTATATGACGAAACATTAGTCCTTACATTGTATATAATGTTACAGTTATATTGGTTTAGAAGTAAAAGGCGAACAACGATATAAAGATGATATTTATAGATATATATGATGGTATAAAGAAAACACTTTACGATCCGTCGCACTGGTTGTACATGTAACATGCGGGTGATTGTTAATGGTTGTCTCTGAGATGTGTTGAAATAAATACTTTTGAGTACTCGGCTCAGATAAAAGACGTTTATTTTTGTCTCCGTTTTGTACGAATTATTGATGTCTTATTTTTGTTTTTATGTGTCTCTTTCGTATATGACCTTTTTAGTTTTGTTTTGTTTTATTTTAAAAAAGGTAAATCGTTTCTAAGATTTCATTTTATTTACTACATAAAAAGCATACATTAGCAACTTACAAAATACAAGAATGAATATACAAAATAAGTTTTTCTATGAAAAGATACTCCTTTTTTAATTGTTTTTCTATTTCATTTACACGTAGGTCTTCCTAACTTTAAACAGTGATTGTGGTTCCATTCAACAAAACAGTCCTTACAGCCTAATTAATCAGTTAAACAACAATGCGATTGATTATGCTATAGACCGTTATTTTTATCAAAGAAATGAAATGCACGTACGTTAATTTATTCATCGCGTTGATCATGTATTGGTTTGATGATGTCAAAGTGGTCATCTCATATAAAAAAAACATTTGATAGTGTACACATATTTTTTTTAACTCTTACATTAAAATCACATTTGAAACACATTTTGCAATAATGATTTGGTCGTTTCACTTCCTTTTTTATCAAAAATGTTATTTCTCTTCAAGAATTCTGATTTTCGTTCAATGGAAAAGGTTGCAAACGGTTTCGCTCTGTACAATCTTTACGTCATATAGAAACACAGCATTAAAATACGTCCAATGTACAATAAGGTAAAATATATACACATATTCATTACACACACATTTGTTTATAAATAAAAAAGGCAATATTAAGCAAACAAGTATTTCCTCACATAAACTCTAAATGCACACTACTTGAAATACAATCTGCAGACAGTTACATTGAAATCAACTGATTCTAACTACAAATATATCAAAAGATTTTGTAAGCACTCTAAAATAATATGTACGAAAGAATAAGTTAAAAGAAATGGCATGACTTCAAAAACACTTTTACAGCAGCAATATGTAAAAGTAATATTTTTTTTATATCTGTTCATAGCCATGATGATTAAACAAAAACGAACAAATGAGTCTCTTTAAAAGATAAATTAAAAACGATGTCATATATACATCAATTAAAAAACACAAAAGGAAAATAAACAAAAAAATGTATTCAATGTTACATTCACAGAAAATTTGTTAACAACACAACTTGTCCCGGTTTACACGTCTTTCTCAAGTATGGACATCTGATTTTTGATTCAAGTCTTTGTATTCATATGTAACAATACCCCATGATTATATAGGAATACAAACATTGAAAGCAAGTTTGCAACTTATAATAATAAATATGATTCAGTGTCGAATACTATTATTGTTACCCCTGTTACTATTATTGAGAAAACAGAAGATACTTTTTTATAACCTCTCCCCTCCACAGCAGTAAGCCTCTACACTACACCAATGCAATGCGAAAACTCAAAGTTGGAGCGTATTCGGTACTGGGTGAGTTGTTTTGTGCGGGCTGCGTAAATGAGCAGGAAACACTCACGAAACTATCTTACCCAACAACCTTCAAACTGAAAGGATATAATGTTAATGCAAGCGACGCGGTCATGTTGTTGTTTTGGTAATTGTTAGGACACATTTGTTGATTTGGTAATTGTTAGGACACATTTGTTGTTTTTAAGCTACTATATTCAAGCCTAATACCACATGATATGCAAAATTCCTTTGATTACGAAACAATTTTTGATCGATTTTCTGTAACACTTCATCTTGGTTGAACATGTCTATACCCACGCATATATCAAGTCATTATCCAGCTATAGAGCATGTTGTTTATGATCTGTCTATGTCTCTTTATTAGAATTACGACCTGCTAGTATTTAGAAATCTCTCGATTGTTTTTTAGGATTCAGTGTATATGAACTGAAGGTTTCCATGTAAGAAATTATTGTTATTTATATAGTTTAAAAAAAAGAAGCATGTTGTTATTCTTCATGGTTTTACAGAGTATCAGCAAGAGAATTGACACTGATTTCCCTTTTCCTTGGTTCCTGAGTGTCTGGTGCTAGAAATGTAAAGCTCACTAAATTAACTATCATGGGAATACTGACGACTCTGAGATAATAAGAATCCATCTGATATTGTCATGTCTATTGTAAAGATCCTAGCCCACAGAAAATATTGATCCGGTTACAGGACTAGGTGGTCGTTTAACCATCATCTTACACTTCCGTAATGGAGGAAATGGTCGACCAGCGTAGAAATATTTCCACGTCATTGCAGCTGCATCGTTTTTACCGGTATCTTCGACATAAAGTCCATTCAAGTTACTCCTTTGGCACCAATTGTACCACCACGCCCCCTTATAAAGATTGCTGCAACTGTTCGGGGCATTGTCATTGTCGCGGTCAAACGTAGAGAAAGCCATCGCGGTGTGGAACCACATCACGTCATCTGGAAAAACATACTTATTTACTGAGTGTATTGACAAGGAAGTTTGAGTTAAGTTCAACCTTTTCTCGAAAAAGCCACCATTTCGTCTAGTTATGAATTATTCTGCACAAAGTCATAGCGGAGATAAGAAAAGGCTTACATGTGAAACAATACATCCCTATTACTTCACATGAGCAAGCTACAGAAGAAGGGCCATCTGTCTTTATTACACCGATACTTGGTATTGCTTCAATTTTGTTATGATCAAATGTTTTACTGGAATGTAACGTTGAATTTAACTCTTAAGACTTTCACCATTAACCTATATCATAGACAGCTAGGATGAATCCCTACAACGTTAATATTAGCCTTTTAGAATACCTTGACCTTTGACTTTAATATCAACAGAGATGTTTTCATTAATCAAGACGTTATCACTTGATAATGACATTATTAACAGCTATAGTGTCAATCCCTTCAATATTACTAAAACAATGTTAACCGTGAATAAAATACAAAATCTTAGCACTTGACCTGGTGCAAATTGTGCCAATCAAAAAACATAATTTTCTGAGCTAATATGTTATGTCATCACGTAAGTTTACAGTTCAGAATATATTTTTGAGGGGCTTCGATTACCGCGGTGTTAACGCTTCCGACCGTTTACGATTACTAAGCATCCACCACTGTTCGCGGGTTTGAGCTGCTTGGGGAAGTTGCCAAGTACTGGCAGCAGGTTTGGTGTATTTCTTTGGGCGCTCAGGTTTTCCTCCACCACTAAAACCTGGATTGTTTTTAAACGAACACAGCTATTTATAGGACGTAAAACACATACAAACCAAACAGTATATTTGACCATTGTGATCTTAGCCTTTCACCATTTGACCCGAATCCTACACATTTGGGGCACTTGACATCAGCCCAAACAGAATTTCTTCATTCTAAATGGATATCAAATGTGATGCCCGTTTACAATGTGACCATGAAATTACTTCCGGGAACATTTGACATAAATCCCAAGAGTGATAATGTTGAGACGATATTACGGTTGATATCTGCGAACTTTTATCCTTGACCTTGAATTTTTAGAAGAAAGATTAAAAAAACAATTAGACTCAACAAAGGGATTTGAGAAAGATCCGTCTCGTATTTTCTGTAAAATATTAATAACAAACATTGTTTAAGGAGGGACGGATTGCCGTAAAGACAGGTCAAGGACAAAAAACGACTTGAAAAGCCGTTTTATTATGATAACCCAAAGGTAACTAAGCAGTTATGATTTTTATATGTCACTGACTATAGAAAGATTGCACCTGGCTGTATCTTCAAATATGTTTTCATATCGATTGAGGAGGAGGAGGGCAGTCTTGTTAGAAACCACGTGTTCATAATGACATCAAATAAACAATGTCCTGTCTTTACCAAAATATACTTACCTGATGTACCATTGGAGTGTTGCAGTGTCAACATGTACTTCTCTGTCTCAGATCCTATATCAAATGTTGTATAATCTGCGTACTTGACATCCCCTTGCCAACTCTCCAACGTGATGCGCAGGGATTGTCTCAACTCCAACAGGCTTCTAATTGGCTCCATTCCTAATAATAAGAGTAATGTTTCGTCCTTTTCTTGTTTATCTCTTAGGGAATCATCGTATTGAACTATTGTATTCAAACCAGACATATTCGTATCTTCGCTTTTTGAAAGACTTTGAATAATATATCCATGTCATCAGTATTAAAAGGTCGACATATCAGCACATCAGTGAAACACCTCGACGTAGTTGAATTCCTCGACACATCGGAATATATACCTCGGAAAATCAGTATAAATACCTTTAGTATAAAAACATCATCAGATTAGTATAAATTCCTTAACACGGTATCAATATCTCAGCAAATCATACTTATACCTTGCACATCGATAACAATACCCCAGCACACCGGTCTAATTACCTCGGAACAGTATTATAAACACTTAATAAATACAACGATTAGTATGAATACTTTATCTTACAGGTGTTAATAGCTGAGCATATCAGTATAAATACCTCATTGTGTTTGTATGAATATCTACAAATCAGCAAGTACCTCTGTACTTGTTCAAGTTACAAGTATAAAACCTCGGTACTGTACCTAGCCAGAATTCTCCATGTAGATATCCAAATCCTTCTTTGTACTCCGTCCAGGACCGCATGAAGTCAACGCTACCGTCATATCTGTTTTGAATCACCTGTTTGTCATAAAGGTTATAAACTTATTTCTGATGTCACAGGTCTAAATTACATTACATATACCACTCCTGTATCATCACCAGGGGTGACAACATAGTTTTACACTCCAAAAAAAGCTTATTATCAAGGGAGGTCATACAATAGTTTTACATTAAAAACAAACCAGTTTTAATCACCAGAGGTCTGCAAATATTTTATATTAACATTCACAATCATAATTATAGTTTGTGTTATTTTTCACCTCACAATACCAAAATTGCATACTTCTGTTTTGTTCGACACAATTTTCATTATATTGGACTTTAAAAACTTGCACAACCAAAAGAAAAGAAAGAAAAAGAGAAAACATTAATAAAGTTAAGCGAAACAAAAATGAATAAATAAATAGAAAGATACATTAGTAAAGAAACAAACAATAATAAAATTGATAAGTTGCCATAGTTCAAAATGGCTATACAAAATGATATTTAAATGATAAATCATATAATGTTTAAAAGGCCAGAGGACGAAACGCACATTTTTATTTTCATTTTAACTGGCTACCGAATAGGCCACTTTTTACAAGAAAAAGAAGTTCTGCAAAGAACAGGTAAAGTTTTGTCACATTTTCCATATGCATATTTGCTTATAAAATTGATAATGATTTTTTGATAAAAAAACCCGTTATGCTAATTCAAAATGAGATCACATTTAAAACTCGGTAAAACTCTATTTCACGAACGCGAGTGATACTATAGATTGAGCATTGTATTGTTATACATGTATCTGTATGTTCATATTGCCAGTAAAGCGTTTCCTGGTACCTATTCATATGTGATAGCTGTGTGATTTTGTCGGTTTAACATGCTTCCTGATAAAAGCAATGTTGGATGGGTATTTAGTTATTTCATGTAAAATATTCTCCTACCGTCCACGGTCCTCCAGGAGTGTCCATATCACAGTAGACGTCAAAGGTTATCCCTGTTACCGGGGTAACGGTAAACACACCAGAACAATAGCTTAAACCCACGTCGTAACAATCCACCCAACCTTTAAACAGGAAAAGTAGGAAACGCCGTAAAAAGGAAAGATAACATCGAAAGTTGGGATATTAACTAACTGAACCATGTATATACTACATGAAGTAACAAAGAACATGAACAATTGACTGAATCATGTATATACTAGTAACACAGAACATAAACAACTGACTGAATCATGTATATACTAGTAACACAGAACATAAACAACTGACTGAATCATGTATATACTAGTAACACAGAACATAAACAACTGACTGAATCATGTATATACTAGTAACACAGAACATAAACAACTGACTGAATCATGTATATACTAGTAACACAGAACATAAACAACTGACTGAATCATGTATATACTAGTAACACAGAACATAAACAACTGACTGAATCATGTATATACTAGTAACACAGAACATAAACAACTGACTGAATCATGTATATACTAGTAACACAGAACATAAACAACTGACTGAATCATGTATATACTAGTAACACAGAACATAAACAACTGACTGAATCATGTATATACTAGTAACACAGAACATAAACAACTGACTGAATCATGTATATACTAGTAACACAGAACATAAACAACTGACTGAATCATGTATATACTAGTAACACAGAACATAAACAACTGACTGAATCATGTATATACTAGTAACACAGAACATAAACAACTGACTGAATCATGTATATACTAGTAACACAGAACATAAACAACTGACTGAATCATGTATATACTAGTAACACAGAACATAAACAACTGACTGAATCATGTATATACTAGTAACACAGAACATAAACAACTGACTGAATCATGTATATACTAGTAACACAGAACATAAACAACTGACTGAATCATGTATATACTAGTAACACAGAACATAAACAACTGACTGAATCATGTATATACTAGTAACACAGAACATAAACAACTGACTGAATCATGTATATACTAGTAACACAGAACATAAACAACTGACTGAATCATGTATATACTAGTAACACAGAACATAAACAACTGACTGAATCATGTATATACTAGTAACACAGAACATAAACAACTGACTGAATCATGTATATACTAGTAACACAGAACATAAACAACTGACTGAATCATGTATATACTAGTAACACAGAACATAAACAACTGACTGAATCATGTATATACTAGTAACACAGAACATAAACAACTGACTGAATCATGTATATACTAGTAACACAGAACATAAACAACTGACTGAATCATGTATATACTAGTAACACAGAACATAAACAACTGACTGAATCATGTATATACTAGTAACACAGAACATAAACAACTGACTGAATCATGTATATACTAGTAACACAGAACATAAACAACTGACTGAATCATGTATATACTAGTAACACAGAACATAAACAACTGACTGAATCATGTATATACTAGTAACACAGAACATAAACAACTGACTGAATCATGTATATACTAGTAACACAGAACATAAACAACTGACTGAATCATGTATATACTAGTAACACAGAACATAAACAACTGACTGAATCATGTATATACTAGTAACACAGAACATAAACAACTGACTGAATCATGTATATACTAGTAACACAGAACATAAACAACTGACTGAATCATGTATATACTAGTAACACAGAACATAAACAACTGACTGAATCATGTATATACTAGTAACACAGAACATAAACAACTGACTGAATCATGTATATACTAGTAACACAGAACATAAACAACTGACTGAATCATGTATATACTAGTAACACAGAACATAAACAACTGACTGAATCATGTATATACTAGTAACACAGAACATAAACAATTGACTGAATCATGTATATACTAGTAACACAGAACAAAAACAACTGACTGAATCATTTATATACTAGTAACACAGAACATAAACAATTGACTGAATCATGTATATACTAGTAACAGAGAACATAAACAATTGACTGAATCATGTATATACTAGTAACACAGAACATAAACAACTGACTGAATCATTTATATACTAGTAACACAGAACATAAACAACTGACTGAATCATTTATATACTAGTGACATAGACAGTAAAGGACTGTACTAGAAATGAATATCTTCGTACATATTAAATCCTTTAATAGGTAAAAGGATATTTTTGTCTGCGTGATTGTGTACTGCCGTCGTTACAGTCTGCCCAACCTTTAAACATTTTGTTTGGAAAATACTGTAGAAAGGGGACTTAATCAAAACTGAAGGGGTTAAACACACTGAATCATTTATATACTGGTAACATTGAACAAGAACAGTGGTTGAAAACAAAAACGCAATAGCTAAACTGAGGTGTAAATAATACAATTATTCATACACAAATCCTAAAGATAAGATGAATGTCCTACCTGTGGTGGAGAATGCACGATCCCCTTAGCGTTGTTTGTGGTTATTTAAATACATTTATTGTTGGACCTTTTGTGAGCATGAAATATCATTATGTATTTGGTTAAGTAATTATCAGCGTTTTTCCAAACCGGACACGTTCTTAATAATTTGGTGAATTGAAATTAACTTTTTCTGCTTTCAATGCTATGACCGTACAAAAACAGGAATTTTCCAAACCGGTCCATTAAATAAATATTTATTTTTCGTTGACTTCGTTCAATTGATAAAAGAAATGATTCATATTTATTTTGATCATATCTGAACACTTCACGCATCAGTGTGACTACAAGGCGATTCTCTAATGACCTTTAGAATTATTTGAGAAATGGTCATTCGTTTTCCTCATGCAAGAATGATTGCGTATGTATCTACTGATATGTTAAGGTTGCAAAGAAATCAAAACACAAGTATTGTCGTGGCCAGAACAGGCTAAAATCCAATAGAGAATACAAGAATTAACGAAGTCAGTTTTCTAACTTATATGAATCACTATTGATAGCCCCAATGGGGTTATACTTAATTAAGTTCGATGGGGGAATCAAACACGGGTCACCTTGACGAAAGGCGAGTGCGTTGCTTAGCAAATATAAAACATGCAGTGTATATTGTTCATTCATAAGAATAATTTTGTCGGAGGTATGGAAATCTGATACATCTGTGTGAATGTCCAGATTTTGTTGTTATAGTGATGCGGTTGTTCGCCCTTCGTAAAACGTTGGTACTCACAATTAGAAAATAGGCTGGTTCTTTTTTTTATAATTTACTATCAAAGGTTATTTCTCTTAAAAATTTATGACACTGCTATTGAAACAAATACATCATTGATGAATTTGATATATTCTGAAATTAATGCATCCCAAGGGGATCATATTAAAAGCGAATAAGGAGATATCAAACACACATGCTATGCATAATTGATTCAAAGTAAGAACACACGGAATGGTACGAAATACGCCAGCAACTTAGGAATACATTTTTTTTGCTGTTGAAAGTAACTTTAATGCCCAGTTGTAGCGAAATATAACATCTTATATGAAATACATTAAAGAGCTTGAATTACTTCATAAACCTAACACGTATGTTTGTAAGTGTATCCTGCATTTTGTATAAAAATTGCCTTTAAAAACCTTTTTAGAAGTTATACAAAACAAGCAACGAAACGAACATGGCGGAAACTGAACCTTCTCATTTGGCCTTGAAATCTCGATAGCATTATAAAGTCGGCATCAGATCCGCGCTATCACAAGGAAGCAAGCACACCAACATAACCTGTCACACGCAGGCACGCATACACTACACACATGGAGACACGTACGTTAATGCCCTTAGCTGTTAATAGGACGTTAAAACACACTTAAACCAAACCATATTCAACAAAACAAGCTAATTCGTGGAATTTATATCCCCCGTTTGCAGGACATATTGTAGGTTAACATTATTGAGGTTAGGTTTAAACATGTGAGTATCGTACTGTTGAGACATAATGTATAGCTTGAAACTTAAGAAAAAAAGCCCTTTTACCTCATTGATTATCCGTAAATATGCACACATAACATCGGTTGGCCAACTTAGCATGAGTTGGATGTGTATAAGGAATTTGGTTGAAACATCTTAACAATATATACAGCAACAAGTACTAATTGTTATGGGAGACCAGATGTCCCCCAAACTGCCCCTATAGTTGCAAATCTGCGTCTGAAAAGGATCGAATTGCCATAGTACACCTACATTGTACATACTAAATTTGAGTGAAATTGAGCAAATTTTAAATTGCAACCAATCAGAATCCTCTGTGTAGTTGCTATGGCAACGGAACGTATGCGATTGAATTTGCAGTCCCATAATACCCATACATTGTATATACCAATTTTCATCGAAATCAAACAATAGCTAAATTGCGACCAATCAGAAGCCGCCGTGTAGTTGCTATGGTAACAAAACTTTGCGGTTAAATTACGATTTTTATCAATATCTAACAATATCTGAATGTTCACCAATCAGAAGCCTTGTTGTGGTTAAAATATGGTTGCTATGGCAACGAAACCAATGCGGTTGAATTCGCAGTCCCCTAATATCCTTATATACCAATTTTCATCAAAATCGAACCAAGTTTGAATACAATCGGTTAACATTTGTTATGGTTATTGCACAGAAACAAAACCCAGCAGATAATTATGTTTTTCGTTATTCAAGGAGCCATAACTGGTCATCGAACTTGATCGAACCTTATGGCATTTAACCCTGTGACCAAGTTTGAAGAAAATCGGTTAATATTTGTTGTAGTTATTGCACGGAAACGAAGCGCGACAGACGGACAGACAGACGGACAGACAGACAGACAGACGTACAGACCCATATTAATATCCCCCATTTCGGTGAAAGCGGGGGATAACAGGATTATTTGAGTTTCAGAAAGGATCTAAAACGAAAGAAAATAAACAGTCGGAGGGCAGACAAATATAGGTCACATGAAAGAATAACTAGAACCACGCGAACGTGCTAAAATCAAGAGGCCCAGAGGGCATGTATCGCTCACCTGTTTCTTTTGTTACATGAAACTGACATATAGGTAATTTCAGACCAAATTTGGTAACTAGAACACAAGACATTTTAACATCTCTTAACCGCTTTTTAAGATTGTTGTTGGAAATTTCAAATTTTAATTTTAAAGCTTTTAAACCACGTTGAACTTTGACTCCGGCTAGCACTTAAAGTTGACCTTTGCCCTCATTACTGTAACAAAGAAAACGATTTGCACTGTTCGTCTACATAACATACCAAAGTATTATGACTCTAGTCCAAATGGTTCTTAGGATATTGCTGTTTGAAGTTTTTAACATATATGACCCCTGTGACTGTGAAAGTAGGTCAATGTCATTTTTATGTGAAAATTGTATAGCAATCCATCCGAGGTACCTACTGGCCAAATTTCATGACCCTGAGTCTTATGGAACTTGAGAAGAAGATTGTTAAAGCTTTTAACCCACGTTGACGTTTGGGCCAGGTGAGCTAAAACGCAAAACAGCGAAACATGCCTTTTTACGAACATTATTATTTCTGTTTGAAAGATGGCGTAAATAACTTATTATGATCAACAATCGAAACAGGTATGTAAAAAAAAACATAAAATATTGATCCCCCGTACAAGATTTGAGAGAGATCTATGAATTTCTGTTTGAAAAGAGTGATGATAAACCTTGTTAATAAGCTGACCACGGAGAGACGCGATTCGAAAAAAAAACCCATCTATATAGAAATATGGTGGATAAAAAGGTTAAACAACCCATTTAATAATCGACTTTCACTTCAATCAAGAAGCGCAAAAAGTACTTGTTTTAGCCGAGAGACCATGGAACTGTAAACTGGAGTGCATGTGTCCTCCCTCCCCTTCTAGGAACGCTCGTGACGATGTTCGACACTGTCCTTTCTCCCAGTCGTAGGAGACGGCCACACAACATCGCTTGACCATACAAGCTAGTAAGCACTGAACCAGTGATGTGATGTCCTCAGTCACAAGCTCAGATTCGGTCATATTTGGTTCTGTTTTTCCATATCTGCGGTCGAAAAGGCCCTCATTTAACTGTACGACTGATGATCGGAACAGAATAATGAACAACTGTAAAATTACCAGAAGATTTCTTGGCATTTTCAAAGTCACCATATTCAAAGACAATGATGTGTGTACTACAAAAACAATCCTACATATTTTGGTTTATGATTCACAGCACGGAGTATCTTCTTATTATGATTTTACTGTTTGAATGAGTATGGCTTTGTCGTTTGTGTGATCCTGCATATAGAACACAAGATATAACCGTAAATTATAGATGATTCCTTGACGTCACTAGAATTGATGCATGAAATATATTATTATATACTCGATCAATAAAAGGGACATGTCAAAAAAAAAATGGGCGGCACATCAACATTAAGTCCGAAGTGTATACAATATAGCGTCCTTTTGCATAAACCTTAGCATGTGACATGTCCATGTGGCCATGTTAGGCACACACTAATAGTTATGTCCTACAATTTTATTTTAATCATGTCTATCCTTTCGTGGTTGAAAAGGCTATCTCTAAGGTGAAGGGGAAGAAGGTCACTGGTATCGATGGAATACCTTCAAAACTCCTTAAAGCCTGTTGTACTGACATCAGTGTGTCTCTGAGCGACAATATTAACCACTGTTTTGATAAATCAGAGTTCCCTTGCAGACTCAAGGAGGCACAGGTAGTTCCTGTTTTTAAGAAAAAATATATTTCAGATAAACAAAACTACCGAACAGTCAGCATTTTACCTTGTATATCGAAACTTATTTATAGAACCATGTGTGATCAACTGACTGCCTTTTTTACTCATGTTTTTCATCCTTTCCTTGCAGCCTTCCGACCAGGATTTGGGTGTCAATCAACCATGTTGCGACGTGTTGAAGACTGACGTAGAGCCCTGAGCAACCATGAGTATGTCGCTGCCATACTGATGGACCTCTCCATGGCTTTTGACTGTCTTACTCATAACCTGTTGGTCGGGAAGCTGGAGATCTATGGTCTGAGCAAAGCCTCAGTTAACCTTGTGTCCAGCTACCTGAGCAGCAGGAAGCAGCTGGTAAAAATTGGCTCCAAATGCGGTGTCTGGCTGGAAGTGNAACTTATTTATAGAACCATGTGTGATCAACTGACTGCCTTTTTTACTCATGTTTTTCATCCTTTCCTTGCAGCCTTCCGACCAGGATTTGGGTGTCAATCAACCATGTTGCGACGTGTTGAAGACTGACGTAGAGCCCTGAGCAACCATGAGTATGTCGCTGCCATACTGATGGACCTCTCCATGGCTTTTGACTGTCTTACTCATAACCTGTTGGTCGGGAAGCTGGAGATCTATGGTCTGAGCAAAGCCTCAGTTAACCTTGTGTCCAGCTACCTGAGCAGCAGGAAGCAGCTGGTAAAAATTGGCTCCAAATGCGGTGTCTGGCTGGAAGTGCTGAAGGGGGTACCCTTGGGTTCTATTTTAGGACCCTTGCTTTTGTAAATGATATGTTGTTATATGTGACATCCTGTAAATTGTATAGTTATGCAGACGACAACACTGTCAGTAAATCAAATAAAGACCCAGATTTTTTAAAACATAATATTGAAAATGATTGTCAAAATTGTATAGACTGGTTTAAATTAAACCAGATGAAAGCAACCCCTGCTAAATTCCAGGTCATTTGTATAGGGAAACGTTCGGTAGATGCTATACAGTCTTTTAGTATTGGCGAAATAGATATTATTCCTGACAGTGTTGACAAACTTTTAGGTTTGAACTTTGATTCATTTTTAAAAATTTGAAGCTCGTATCTCTGAAATTTGTAGGAAAGCCTCCAAGGCAATTGTCCATTTTAAAGCGAATTGGGAGTTTTTTAACCAAAGAAGGTAGACTTGAAATTTAGAATTCTTTTATTGTATCAAATTTTAACTACTGTCCTTTAGTCTGGCACTCTTGTTCCATGAAGAGTGTTAGAAAGCTAGAAAAGATACAAGAAAGAGCTTTGAGGTTTATACATAATGATCACAACTCATCCTTCAGACACTTACTGAGTATTACCAACAGCGACAGGCCTCATGTAAGGCGGCTGAAGGAAATGGGTTGTTGGGTTTTTAAAATTATAAACAAAATTTCTCCTGAATATATTCATAATCTTGTAAATATTAAGATGTCTAATTGTGACTTCAGGAATGAAAATACTGCAGAGGTGCCCAGGGTCAACACTGTGAAGTTTTGACATAAATTGTTTGCGTTTGAGGCCGTCTGGGTGTGGAACAGTCTCCCAAATGACTTCCGAAAAGGAGGCCGGTCCATTCCTGGGATGGCCCCATCTGCCTTTGCAATATCTGCAAAGAGTGATGCTTCATACTGTGCCCTGGTTACCTCTGCCACCTGACATTTTGGATTGTGTGATACTTTTATTGTCTTATTTCATTTCTTATGTTTTAATTCTATTCTATATTTTTGCAGCATCTTATTTGTATTATATACATTCAATATATTCTAAAAAGTTTTTTTTACAAAACTTGATAAATTGTGTTAATTGATTTCGGTATCATTTTTAATTCACACTACGATCTTGTATATTCTGTTAAGTTTATTAGCATTGTATGTATATTCCACTTCATAATGTTTTAATCCTAAGTCCTAAGTAATTCTTGTGTGATAAACAAGTGTTCATTCACTATTAACTATGTCTTTTATTTACTTATTCTTATACTACTTATCTGTGATCACATTTAATGCTTTCATATATTAACACTATTTTTATATATTTATTGTTCCAAAACGGTCATATCCCGGGGGACTTTGTAGGTTTAGGTTTAAACATATTTTATTGATACAAAAGGATTGGGCACAAGTTATTAACCTATTTGAAGCCGTCTCCAGGCTTTGTAGGTAGGGGACTCCCAATCACTTAGAAATCTGGGATATGGATACTTTCTTTTTCTGTGATGATTATTTCTGTTTTTTATCAATATATGTGTTTATCTCCCTTTACTTGTAATATAATATGTTATTGTTATTTTACATAAGTTTGTCGCAATACTAGCTAAGAATAAGTATCTTGTATCATGAATAGAACAAAACAATACTAAATGAAGAACACAGCAATCTTTACAATATCACAAACGTAAACATTAGGTATCAACGCATTGTGTTGTTCAATGACCTTCATAAATGTATATGCATTTTTTTGCTGCAATTCCCCTAATTAAGACTTCGAGCGTAGCTGTGAGCACAATTGCATCAGTGTTTGTTGCCTTGTTTGGATAACATGCCACCATTTTAAGGATGTACACCTCTGAGAAGTCAAAAATTTCCTGTAATAAACTTTTTTTCTTATATGGATTTTTGGAAAAAGGAGTAAATGGCATAGTAGGAAATGCAAAAAAAAAATATGTCAGTGTGCTCGTTTTCGTGCTAGGATCGGTGAAAGATACCAATTTACCACAACATGTGATTTTAGGTGATTTTTTGGGTTTTGACCACTTGCAGAACAAATTCATGCAGTTTCTTCCAAGTGTGTTATCAGATATGTATAAATGTTTGTAGAATTGTTGAAAATATTATTTTCTTTTAAATTATGGAAGTAAAATTCCTTAATCTTATTGTTTTAACTCGAAAAGCCGATTTTAGTTACCCCTACCCCCTATTTTTTAATGAAAAAATACTATTTTTTTACCATTTTTTTACAGATTAAACGCTTGATATAAAAAGTTCTGGTATTTAACTTTTTTTAATATTTAATGAATTAAATGAAAACGTGTTTCTCTTTCTAAAACATCTACAAAAATGGGGGGTCAGTGTGCTTCTTTTTTTGTCCCATTATCATTTGTGTTATTTTTTAGTTTTTTCGGGGTCAAAAATCAAAAGTGCTTCAGTTACACTAAATACGTAAAAAAANCATTTAAATATTTATTAAGAAATATTGTCAAAACAATTCCTTTTTTGGAAAAAATATTGAAATATGAATAATTGTCGTACCTATGATTCATAATGTGATAAAAACTTATAAAAATATCTCTCATTATTTCGTATTTATTTTTTGTAAGTATCGTAAGTAATTGTATACTAGCTGCATTACTGTATGTCTGGTATGTTGACAAAACTTATGTTTCTAGTAGAACACGTGATCTTAATTAATAACCTGTACTCCATCTAAGGATAGGAACCTACATCTGCATATTGTCACCAGCTGCTAGAAAAACATTCGGTTGGATTGTCGATATGTTGTTGAAAGTTGTTAGGTTATCAAATCATTATATCGATATTCCTTTTAAATTGAGGGCTTTTCATCGATCGATGGACTTCAAAACTCGCCGACCAATTTGCACACGTGAACGAACAGCCTTCTTTAATTTATACTCATTGGATGATATAGTAAAAAGCACTAGAGCATTGAATTAAAAATGCATATGGTAGAATGAATGTTATCATTAAAAACGTTTATGTTATGGTGAAACATTTGACTGATGGACAAAATAATTACTGTTTTTAAACTTATCTCACCCTCGTTTTGTATTCCACAATAATATTAACACCGATGGCCATGCAAGGACGTGCCCGGTTTTATTGGTAGAGGAAAGCCGGAGTGAGTTCCCGGAGAAACAACAACCGACCTACGTCAAGTACCTGATGCCTGCCCCACGTAACCCTCGACCCAGTGGTGGAGGGCTAGTGGTAGCAGAATGTCAGACGCATTAACCATTTGGCCACCGCAGCCCCTGATTTCCAGGAATAGAAAGAATGAATTTTCACTGAATTTACTTTTATTCCTGTCGTGCTTTATACTGAGCCAACATCATAAGCGCCTTTAAAACAAGAAAGAATTAAATCATACACGTATAAATAGACAGCTACCCGGACAGTAAAACAAATTACATAATGGACGATTTGGAAAACTAAAAAGCAGTATTTAAAAGAGTTTTCTAAGCTCGTTTTTTTTAACCTGTTCAATACAGTTGGCTTCGTGAAAATATAGTTGACAATACCGAAAGCTTTCACAAAATACCTAAACAAAGTCATTTGAAAAGCATTAGCATCAAGACTGTTACGATACGGTCAGTTTCTACTATCTCAGTTTTTTTTTATAATAATGCTCTTATACGGGGGTAAGCGTGTCTTGAGGATAAATTCTGTCATGTCTGTTTGGTTTAATATTTCAGCGAGGCATCCCTGTTTTACAGACACATCTCTATAGTTTTGAAAAAATAAATGTGTCATTTTTAAATTGTATAACAGAATTGATGTTAAGTCTCTTGTTTCCGGGACCTGACAACAGGATTAAGTAGTTTCAAGCACTTCAGTCATGTGCCCAGAGAACCACGTGGCCCTTGGCCTCTTGTTATAGTTGTGATTTAGTATAGCTAATGTATGTATACTTATTATAAAAGGTACACATTGTGATACTAGCAAGGAGATACATATGTAGCTATGTTACTTATAGGTGTGTATTTTTGTGTTACAGGGTCAAAACCATCTATGTACAACATCTGCACTAGCTGGTACCTGTTTTTGACCCAACCCGGTTACATTCATTTACTCGAATTTCCCTAATACTGTTTGTGTAAGTATCGTCAGTGAAACAATATAGAAGGAACACATCATTACATCAATTATATTCACTTCAGAGATTGATTCAGAGCCATTCAAGGTCTTATTAGAAGTTGACATTAAAGTATGTCATTGACATATATATAAATGTCGTCATACCAAATGATTTGACACTATTTGCATTCGTGCAACACAAATGTAAAATATGATATTTATACATCAGAATATCAAATTTGAAGCGTGTTGGAAATGGACACTGTAACAGTCAACCGAACAATACGATCCAAACGATCCATTATTTTTGGCATTATACATCTTACCGGTACACTAGAGAGTTAACTGGTATAAAAATATATGATTCGATGCAACCGGTACAGGTACATGTCTCGTAGGCGTGATTGTATAAATATTGTTTAGTTATCGCGTCAAATATAACCACAAAAGTAGTTCAGTATCGTCTCTTTTATGTAAGAATTCGTGATGTCTTATCTATTTATATGTCTCATCGGCAAATTTAGTTGTCTTAATTTTTAAAACATTAACAAGTTAACACCAAGGTCAATTTGTTTTTGGGAATGTCATTTTAATAACATACTTTTGCTTCTTACAAAACACACAACATACAAAATAGAACGAAAGTGAGAATAGGTATACGCCTCCCCATTCCCTTCGATTTGCCCGGGACTTTGACCCTTTACTGTGACCGATGACCACCAAAATCTCATTAGGTGTAGGACTCGGTGTTATCAGCCTTTGGTGTAAATATAAACTGTTAATATAAAAAGTCGGATTTGTTTTGAGGTTCGTTTTATGTATTATACGTATATTATTTTTAGTTCAAACGTGTTAAATTATTCTTTACCCGTAATTTTTGACCTTTGGGCCTTAGCTGATGATCACCAATTTTAATTGGCTAACCTTTATCAGGATGCCGGAATTTAATTTCTTATCTTTGATCGAAATTTCAATACATTTATTGTTTCATAATATGTTATTTTAGTGAAGGTGCGGCAAAAAGATACCACAACCCTCATTAACTTAAGACATGTACATGTAAGTAACAACGCAATGTTTAAAGTGGGCTGCGAGTGGGCTGCCCCAACCCCTTACCAGTAAGTTATCACCAATAACACCTGGGATATTGACGCTGCACATAAACAAATCTAACATCTGAAGATAAACCGGGCATACAAATATGACTGACAAAACTTTGTTCTTTATATAATCAATATTACAATCAATAACAAATATAAACGTTCTATTAAAACTTTCAAAACAAGTTCATTGACAAATGACATAACACGATAAGTAGACTACATTATAATCATTTTAAAAAAAATAGCTGCAGGACATCTAGATGATTAAAAATACAAGGTAGCTGAGAGGGGAGGAGGGAGGGAGGGATCAATTTAAGTTTCCACAATTTTTTCTCAAACCAATATGGCTTCTTGATACAGCAGCGAGAGTGAGGGGTTTGTCAGCTTCCACCCCATGGGGCTCTCGCTGCTATCTCTCTGACCAATGGGCATTAACCTTGACCCATTTTAACAAATGGTAGCTGGCCTTGACATATCTTTAACTTACATAAATATTTAGAACTGATGTCACAAAATACGGAATCAAAATTAATAAAAAAAAAAACAGACGGAATAATGTCATCAACCAAACAATTGTATATATAAATATATACTTTTTTTACCATGGGCATGTCGGCTATCAAAACAAACATATTCGATCAAATATTTTTAAGGTTTTGACCCCTGTGACCTTTAAAGTAGGTTTGGGTCATTTATTTGATAATTCTTTATATTCTTTCTAAGAATACTACTGGCCAAACAGCATTGCCTTGGTTATTTAAAACAAGTCGTTTAACGGTTTTCACATGTATGACCCCTGGGACCTCCAAAGTAGCTCAAGGTAATTTATTCAAAAATTCTTCATAGCGAACTATCAAACTAAGTTTATTGCCAAATGTGTCATTCTGGGTCATTTGGTTAATCAGAAGAAGTGTTTTAAATGTGTCTACATATTTGACCCTGTGACCTTGAAAGGAAGCCAATGTCATATATTCTAGGACACTTTTAGCACACCATCCCAGTATGCTACTGGCCAAATATCATGACCCTAGACGGACAGATGTCATACCACACACAATACCATAAGCTTTCCAGTACTTCGTACACGGTGAGCACAATATACAGTTAGTTACCTTAACACCAAAATACGGAGTGCTATCACATTTACAATTGTATAAGTAAAAGGTGGTCAAATCAGAAAAAATTGGTATACATAGCAACTGTGAAAGTGCAACGAACATGTTATTTCCAGTGTGAAAACATAAATTCAACTCATATGTTGTGACAATGATTCGACGGAATAACGCCTGTCTCTGATTTGACCGTCAAGAGCAATAAGTTAGAATCAGAACAAAAAAAAACAAAAAACTGTCATAATGGCCATATTTTACTTATGTTTGCTTTTTTTCAAAATTTCAAATTCAAATCAAATTTAAATTGAAAGTTGAATTCAGAAAATATTTACTTAATGTCACACTTTGAATATATCAAAAGGGTTTTAAAGAAATGACAATATTTCGTTTTTATAAAAAGAAAAACTTCTAGAAAATCAGATTATATAAAGCATCCAAAGCAGGTACTGGAGGGCTATTTAGAAGAATAAGGAAGAACCTAAAAAAGATGAAGATGCTGAAAAGGAAACTTTACAACGTAATACTCAGCATTTGAAACAATTTATCAATTACCCAATAATTATTTATAACCTACCTTCAGTTGGTCATGCACTCATACTAACTCATACAGAGAAACAGAGCTAAGACACTGATTTAGACATTGACGAAGTCTCAGGACCGTACAAACTAGGACCCACATTGCAGCTGATGAATGCAATAAGATTAACCTCCTAAAGTGTATCTTTGGTATCTACTTTAGTAGGTATAGGACTTATCTTTGTAGACACAACACATAACACACAGCTAAACGCAAAATAACTTCACATTGATGAGAAGTCACTGGACCAGGAAATGTAGGCATCATTCCGTAGCAGATGCATGGTTGCGATGAAGACTCATCATAAAAAATATGGTCAAAATTTGGTTATTATATTTTCTAAATTTTTCCTACCTCATCTGGACATTAATATTTTTATTATATATATAGGACCTTACATTCCCATTTCATATGAGATTTATGAAATTTAAGATTTTATTTCAATTTGGCGAGCTAAAATAAAATATTCGTTACGAGTTTCATAAATTTCATATGAAATGAAAACGAGTGTAAGATCCTTTTTATAAAATAATCACGATTTGTGGCATATATTCGTGTAAAACAACCATTTTCATGCAACCTTGAAATGTAAAAAGACGTCATTTTGACTCAAGTGCGTAAGTCTGTGACGTCATGTACTTGTTCTATGCGTGACGTCACAATCGAAACAATTGGAACTTACAACCAATCACAGGACTGAGAGGTCATATTACATGGGTTTATACGCAAAAAATATGACACGGGTATATTCACTGAATAACACAGTATATTATGTGATAAATATTTTTAGGCATTTTAGCATAACCATGCAAGAACAGATACAGGAGTTACACCCCTATAGTCACCCAAACCTGCAACAGAACCTATACTCTTTATGTTTACCTCACGAAGCAGCAAAGTTAACCTAACGTTTCTAAGTGTCAGCAGAATTAAACATTCTCATTGTCCAATCAAAGTGGCAGCAGATGTTATACTTCTATGGTCCTTCGAAAGAAGTTGAAATTAAACTCCCATTGTCCGACCATGGGCAGTTATACGCCCATTCTCCTCGCTATGTGGCAGCAGAATCATTACTCTCATTGTCCAATTAAAGTGGCAAAGATGTTAAACAGGTCATCAATTGTCCTACGAAATAGGTGGAAATTATAATCCAATTGTCCGACCAGGTGGCAGTAGTTATATTCCCATTGTCCATACCATGTGGCAGCAGAACTTACTCGTGTACGTCTATTGTCCAACCACAGCAGCAGCAAAGGTTACACTCACATTGTCTACCACCTAGCTGCAGCAGATTGTTTTCTGTAGTCCACAACATATGACAGCAGAAGGTTTAATCCCAATATTCACTCTCAGTGGCAGAAAACATTATACCAACATTCGATCCCTAGTTGCAGCAGTTGTATTCTCATTGTTCTACCTAATAGTGGCAGCTGATTTTATGCTAATAATGGCCACCCGTAGTGGTAGCAATAAGTTATACTTTAATGGTACACTCCTAGTGGTTGCAGAAGTTACACTTCAATTGTTCATCCGGAGTGGCAAAATAAGTTATGTCTTCATTATCTATCCCCAGTGGCAAAAAAGCTTTAGTCCCATTGTACATCCCAAGTGGCAGCAGAAGTTATAAATGGTCTTCCATGGTCCACCCATAGTGGTGCGAGAGAATACCTTTAATGGATAACCACAGGACTAAGAAGAACGTGTTATTCCATTGTTCTCCCCAAGTGGCAAAGGAACGTATACTCCCACTGTACATATCAGGTGGCAGCAGAAGTTATACATGTTTTTCATTGGTCAATAATTCTTAGTGGAAGCAGACGTTGTATTCCCATTGTATAGTCCAACTCCTATGGTATCTGAAGGCAGCCGAAGTTTACTACTAGTGTCCACCCAAACAGACACTAGAGGCTAAACTAAGCTTCGTATCGAAAGTTCGTGTAAGTAAGTTAATGTTAAATGTCTTCCGGGTTCCTTTCCCTTAGTTCAAACTGAATTTCTTCCTGTCGTTGTATGTTCTGTCAGTTTCTAGAAATGAACTGCTCCCTACCCCTACTATAATGGGAATACAGGCAGCTATTTTGTGACCCCTCCCTGGCAGCCAACCTCCATATTACATCCATGTGATCATATAAATCCATCCGATATTGCCATGTGTATTACAAAGAAATCCTTTACGACAGAAAAAGTTGAGTCAGAGATACATATGACTAGGTTAGTCGTTTAACCATCATCTTACACTTCCGTAATGGAGGCATATATCGATCAGAATAGAACTGTGTCCACGTCATGGAAGTTGGGTCATCATTGCCATTATCTTCAACATATAGGCCAAACAAGTTGCACGAATGGCACCAACTGTACCACCACGCCCCCTTATAAAGATCGCTACAACTGAAAGGTGCATTGTCATTGTCACGGTCAAACGTAGAGAAAACCTTCCCGCTGTGGTACCAAATCGAATTAGCTGGAATAAGAGAATCATTTACGATGTGTATTAAACATATAGTCTGATTAAAGTTAGTTCTATTAATGACATCCCAAAGAGAATAAGTTACGGATGTTTTATGCATAATAAGTTCAGTTTAAGTATGCATGGTTCTGCAACAAGTTATAACGGAGACAAGAAATAAAATACAAACTTTATTAATTTTACAACGATTATGAAACTAGATTTTCAGACATTTGTTCATCAGCCTTGTTGGTCAAAATGGATCAAAACACATCATGACACCCACCACCAGTGACCACATGAGCAAGCTACAGAGGAAGTCATTTTTCTATGATACCCCGAGACTTATCTTTATGGCGTCAATTTTGTTATGATAAAATGTTTTACCGGTGAGTAACGAAGAATCTGATCTCCAAAACATTGACGATTAACCTACATTTAAGATATTTAGTATCAATCCCTACAATATTGCTTGATAATTCTTTGTAAAGTTTGCCATTAGGAATACCTTAACCTTTGACTTTAATTTCGTGATGGCATACCATTCAATGCGACTGCCTGAAATTAATATTGTTTCCATATATACAAACAAAACTAATGGGGAACATGGGGAACAAGAGGGATTTGAGAAAGATTTGTTCCGTATTTCCTGTAACCTATTGATAACCAGCATTGTTTACGGAGGAACGGAGGCGACTTGGAAAGCTCAATGTTGTTGATACATGTATGATGGTGTGGTCTGAGAATTTCCCTCTTAATGATTCCTATTCCGCTGCACTGTGGTATCTCCTATATACAGTAACCCCTTAACTTTCGTTTGGATATAACTGTAGCACTGTTTGGCTAGAGCCCTTCCATTGTCGTTTTTGATATTTTGTTTATTTGTTTAATTTTATTAAGTTTTCATAAAAGAATAAATTGGCAGTGGTATGGGTACCTTCAACTGAGAATATAAGGGGTGTGTGTCTCGTTCCTTCATGTATGTTGCTCTTCCGATTGAGAAGAAAGGTTATACCAAAATAAAAGGGGAAAACAAAATGTCCTGTCTTTACCAAAATAAACTTACCTAATGTACCTGTACCATTGGGGTATTGCAGTGTCAACAGGTACTTCTCTGTCTCAGATCCTATATCAAATGTTGTGTAATCTGCGTACTTGACATCCCCTTGCCAACTCTCCAACGTGATGCGCAGGGCTTGTCCCAACACCAACAGGCTTCTAATTGGTTCCATTCCTAGTAACGGAAAACTGTTGTATTCACCTCTTGTGCATATGTTTTACTATCTTTGGAACAAGCAAATTCGTGTCAAAGTAATTCGTGTCAAAGTTGTTTGTATACCTTTACATGAAATAATCCTGCAATTATAAACAACCTAACACACCAGTAAATTTACCTGGTGATATCAATATAAATACGTTTGCCCATCAGTATATATATATCTCCTCATATGGGTATGAAACCTAAATACACCAGTATAAATACCCCCTCTTCTGTATGAATATCGCACCATTTCCATGTTACTGTCTCACCACACAGGTAAAACACATCGACACATCAGTAAAAACACCTCGACACATCCGTAAGAAATCTTGACACATTAGTATAAATACATAGAAAACACAGTATTAATACCTCGACATTTCAGTATAAATTTCTTGACACATCAGTTTAAATGTCTCGACACATCACTATAAATACTTTGACACATCATGATGAATACATTGACAAATCAGTATAAATGTCTCGACACATCAGTTTAAATGTCTCGACACATCACTATAAATACTTTGACAAAACAGTACAAATGTCTCGACACATCACTATAAATAATTTGACACATCATGATAAATACCGCGGCACATCAATATAAATACCTCGGCACATAAGTATAAATACCTTGGCACATCAGTATAAATACCGCGGCACATCAATATAAATACCTTGGCACATCAGTATAAATACCTCGACACATCAGTATAAATGCCTCGGCACATCAGTATAAAAACCTCGACACATCAGTATTAAAACCTCAGCACATCAGTATAAATACCTTGGCACATCAGTATTAATACCAAGGCACATCAATATAAATACCTTGGCACATCAGTATAAATACCTCGACACATCAGTATAAATGCCTCGGCACATCAGTATAAAAACCTCGACACATCAGTATTAAAACCTCAGCACATCAGTATAAATACCTTGGCACATCAGTATTAATACCAAGGCACATCAATATAAATACCTTGGCACATCAGTATAAATACCTCGACACATCAGTATAAATGCCTCGGCACATCAGTATAAAAACCTCGACACATCAGTATTAAAACCTCAGCACATCAGTATAAATACCTTGGCACATCACTAAAAACACTTTGACACATCACTATAAATACATTGACAACAGTATAAATTCTCGACAGATCACTATAAATACTTTGACACATCACTATACATACTTTGACAACAATATAAATGTATCGACACATCACTATACATACTTTGACACATCAATATGAATACATTGACAAAACAGTATAAAATTGTTTCGACACATCACTATAAATACATTGAAAACAGTATAAATGTCTCGACACATCACTATAAATACTTTGACAACAGTATAAATGTCTCGACACATCACTATAAATACTTTGACACATCACTATAAATACATTAACAACAATATAAATGTCTCGACACATCACTATAAATACTTTGACACATCACTATAAAATACATTGACAACAGTATAAATTTCTCGACACATCACTATAAATACTGTGATACATCACTATACATACTTTGACAACAATATAAATGTATCGACACATCACTATACATACTTTGACACATCAATATGAATACATTGACAAAACAGTATAAAATTGTTTCGACACATCACTATAAATACATTGAAAACAGTATAAATGTCTCGAAACATCAATATAAATACTTTGACAACAGTATAAATGTCTCGACACATCACTATAAATACTTTGACACATCACTATAAATACATTGACAACAGTATAAATGTCTCGACACATCACTATAAATACTTTGACACATCACTATAAATACTTTGACAACAGTATAAATGTCTCGACACATCACTATAAATACATTGACAACAGTATAAATGTCTTGACACATCACTATAAATACTTTGACACATCACTATAAATACATTGACAACAGTATAAATGTTTCGACACATCACTATAAATACATTGACAACAGTATAAATGTCTCGACACATCACTATAAATACTTTGACACATCACTATAAATACATTGACAACAGTATAAATGTTTCGACACATCACTATAAATACATTGACAACAGTATAAATGTCTCGACACATCACTATAAATACTTTGACACATCACTATAAATACATTGACAACAGTATAAATGTTTCGACACATCACTATAAATACATTGACAACAGTATAAATGTCTCGACACATCACTATAAATACTTTGACACATCACTATAAATACTTTGACAACAGTATAAATGTTTCGACACATCACTATAAATACATTGACAACAGTATAAATGTCTCGACACATCACTATAAATACTTTGACACATCACTATAAATACATTGACAACAGTATAAATGTCTCGACACATCACTATAAATACTTTGACACATCACTATAAATTCTTTGACAACAGTATAAATGTTTCGACACATCACTATAAATACATTGACAACAGTATAAATGTCTCGACACATCACTATAAATACTTTGACACATCACTATAAATACATTGACAACAGTATAAATGTTTCGACACATCACTATAAATACATTGACAACAGTATAAATGTCTCGACACATCACTATAAATACTTTGACACATCACTATAAATACATTGACAACAGTATAAATGTTTCGACACATCACTATAAATACATTGACAACAGTATAAATGTCTCGACACATCACTATAAATACTTTGACACATCACTATAAATACATTGACAACAGTATAAATGTTTCGACACATCACTATAAATACATTGACAACAGTATAAATGTCTCGACACATCACTATAAATACTTTGACACATCACTATAAATACATTGACAACAGTATAAATGTTTCGACACATCACTATAAATACATTGACAACAGTATAAATGTCTCGACACATCACTATAAATACTTTGACACATCACTATAAATACATTGACAACAGTATAAATGTTTCGACACATCACTATAAATACATTGACAACAGTATAAATGTCTCGACACATCACTATAAATACTTTGACACATCACTATAAATACATTGACAACAGTATAAATGTTTCGACACATCACTATAAATACATTGACAACAGTATAAATGTCTCGACACATCACTATAAATACTTTGACACATCACTATAAATACATTGACAACAGTATAAATGTTTCGACACATCACTATAAATACATTGACAACAGTATAAATGTCTCGACACATCACTATAAATACTTTGACACATCACTATAAATACATTGACAACAGTATAAATGTCTCGACACATCACTATAAATACTTTGACACATCACTATAAATACATTGACAACAGTATAAATGTCTCGACACATCACTATAAATACATTGACAACAGTATAAATGTCTCGACACATCACTATAAATACTTTGACACATCATTATAAATACTTTGACAACAGTATAAATGTATCGACACATCAATATAAATACTTTGACACATCACTATGAATACATTGAGAAAACAGTATAAAATTGTCTCGACACATCACTATAAATACTTTGACACATCACTATAAATACATTGACAATAGTATAAATGTCTCGACACATCAGTTTAAATGTCTCGAGACATCACTATAAATACTTTGACAAAACATTACAAATGTCTCGACACATCACTATAATTGTTTTGACACATCACAATGATAACATTGACAAAACAGTATAAAATTGTCTCGACACATCACTATAATTACAACGACAACAGTATAAATGTCTCGACACATCACTATAAATACTTTGACAAATCACTACAAATACATTGACAACAATTTAAATGTCTCGACACATCACTACAAATACATTGACAACAGTATAAATGTCTCGACACATCACTATAAATACATTGACAACATTATAAATGTCTCGACATATCACTATAAATACTTTGACACATCACTATAAATACATTGACAACATTATAAATGTCTCGACACATCACTATAAATACTTTGACACATCATTAAAAAAATATTGACAACAGTATAAATTTCTCGACACATCACTATAAATACATTGACAACAGTATAAATGTTCCGACACATGACTATAAATACTTTGACACATCACTATAAACACTTTGACAACAGTATAAATGTCTCGACACATCACTATAAATACTTTGACACATCATTTAAAAAACATTGACAACAGTATAAATGTCTCGACACATCACTATAAATACTTTGACACATCACTATAAATACATTGACAACAGTATAAATGTCTCGACACATCACTACAAATACATTGACAACAGTATAAATGTGTCGACACATCACTATAAATACTTTGACATATCACTATAAATACATTGACAACAGTATAAATGTCTCGACACATCACTATAAATACACTGACAACAGTTTAAATGTCCCGACACATCACTATAAATACATTGACACTTCACCATAAATACTTTGACATAACAGTATAAATGTCTCGACACATCACTATAAATACTTTGTCACATCACTATAAAAACTTTGACACATCAATATAAATACTTTGACAACAGTATAAATGTCTCGACACATCACTATAAATACTTTGACACATCAATATAAATACATTGACAACACTATAAATATCTCGACACATCACTATAAATTCATTGACACATCACTAGGAATACATTGACAAAACAGTATAAAATTGTCTCGACACATCACTATAAATACATTGACAACAGTATAAATGTATCGACACATCACTATAAATACTTTGACACATCACTATAAATACTTTGACAACAGTATAAATGTCTCGACACATCACTATAAATACTTTGACACATCACTATAAATACATTGACAACAGTATAAATGTCTCGACATATCACTATAAATACTTTGAGACATCACTATAAATACATTGACAACAGTATAAATGTCTCGACACATCACTATAAATACTTGAC